CCAACATTAGGATTAGGTTTGCATTTACTAAAACGACTTTATGAAAAATCTTTTTAATTCTAATATTCTAGTACTTACTTTTTTTTTACACACATATATATAAAGGTGCAAATAACGCGATACAAGATGCCGATCTGTTAACCAAAGAATTAATTAATTCTGAAAATAAAGATTTAATCGAGTGTATTCGGAGATACAATGAACAAATGCGAGTTCGATCATCTAAAGACGTTCTAACGTCACGTAGCATGGCACTAAGGCAACGAAAACCAGTGGGTGATTTTGGTTTAATTCTTAGATATTTCTTTTTTAAAGTACTTGCTGTCTTTTTCTATGTTTCTGTATTTATTAAAGTCCATACTTAGTTCAAGAATGTATAAATCCTATTCCAATTTATGTAATTTATGTCTATAAAGTATTTTGTATAATATTCTTTATTATTAAGTATATATTCATATAGTAGGGTGTTTAATAATTAGCATATTTCAAAAATAAGTGGGGTTTAAAAAATCTTAATTGTATTTTTAAATTTCAAAAATCAGAAAATGAATGACGTCGGGATTAATTTTTTTATTATAATTTTTTTTTATTATATTATTTTTTTACCCCCCCCCCATATTAGCTAACCTATGTTAAACAAATAATCTGCCCGGCCTTATTGCAAGTTTGATCTTTTTAAACTCCTATTTATTTTCGAAATACTTTAATTCTGAAACCCATTAATTTCATAAACTCAATTACTAAAGTTATTAACTTGCTCACGTGGCCCTATTTGAATTACCCTGTTACTTTGTCCAGCTGTTGTTCTGATGTACTACATGTAAGGATCAGATGAGGTTACTGTATATAACTATCAAAAAGTAGAGAGGATAGTTGATGTTTGTTTACGTCCAATTGCCCAAAGTAGTTTGTGGCAATTGAGATTAAGCTTTCCAAATCATGAAGCAGAGTTAGGAGAACAGTGTTTGTTAGTAAAGCGAACCAAAATACATTATATCCAATAGATAAAAAAAAATACTTACGTACCTAAGGAACCCAATAAATTCGCCAAATTAAACATGCTTTTTTTTTTGTCTAAGCCAACCGTAGGTTACGCGAAGAATAGGATCCTTGAACGACTGACTCGCCAATTTCCATATTTTCACCGAGTTTATACGTAACGTCTGATTGCTGATTATAATAGACGTCCTATATGAAATACACTCGATCACAAGAAAAATCATTAACGAATCTAATTAAATTCGAAGTTATAATAAAGAAGAATATTTCTTTTAAAGTTTCGTCAATTGTTTATTATGTAAATTGATTATTTGCTACTGGAAGTAATCAATTTACATAATAAACAGTTGACGAAACTTTAAAGTAATATTATTCGTAGGTATTACTTGTTTCTGGCAAATTTAATCAGATTCGTTAATGATTTTTCTTATTATCAGTTATCGAGTGTATTTTCATATAGGACGTATACTATAATATGCACCCCAGTACAATACAAAAAAATAACGTTAAATAATATTAATTTCAAGCGGCCTAACTGAAATCAACTCTGAACTTATTAAATAATAAGACATGACCAAATTTGAGAAAATCTCTTTTAATTCTTTCTTTCTACGCAAAAAATACCCTTCTTGCTTGATGTTGGATTTTAAAACTACATTACTATCGAAGTATAAAACTATGGTACAAAAATTTAAAGCCCAATAATGACTGCCCAATTCAATTGAAGATTCAATATTCGAGAAAGTATTTTTTGATCATAATAAAAGTTTTAACATAAAATTTAGATATATCCTTATGATCTTAACAGTTAAGGATCAATGTTAAGGTAAATTATATATGCTTATTTGATGCGAAGCATTCAATAACGGGAGTTATTTGGCTAAAATTATCATAGTAAGCTGCCGGATAATTAGGTTTATATTGAGATCAACGTTATGGACCAACCAAGACTTTGGCATCCTTATTATAACTAAGCGCATTATGAGAAATTTGCTTCGGATTCTTTTAAAACCTTATCAGGAAAAGGCGTGCAAATCGTTTTTTTTTTTCTATCCCAATAGGAACAGTACCGACGAGAGTAAACAAGTCGTTAAACAAAAATTCGGCAAAATCAGGTGTAATGTGAAAATAAAAACAATCAAATAATCGAATATTTTAAAAACCTTAGGCTAGGGTTAGAGTTCGGATTAGCAAGGAGCTTAGTAGGTTATATGCAAAATTTATTGTGCAGAATATCAAAATTTTCAAAAATAGCGTGATTTAAAGTTCAAGTAATAATATATGATTTTGGCCTCTAATTAAAGTTGTATATACAGTAAATCGCGAAGATAAAAAACGTTTCGGTACTATTATAATCGTAATAATGGTCTCTACAAATTTAATTAGAGGCATAAGGACTATTTACTTAGTAATATATCGAGAAAAATCAAATTTATTGAATATTACAAACAATTTTACGAAAAAAATACTTGTTATTTTTTCGTGATTTATGATTATGAGGTCACGTGAAGAATAACCAAATTTGTTGTAAATTTTTAATATTCAATTATAATTATGACCCTTACTTTTCAAAAAAGTTTCAATTTTTCAAAAATTTAAGTTTCGGAATAAATTTTCGAGATTCGATTTTTTAGAAATCAAAAACTATATTTGCAGTATTTCCCAAAACTAGTTTCGTTTTGGTTTCGTTTCGAGTCATAATACGTCCAGTTTATCCAACTCGTTATAAACACTAAAAAAATAACATGTTCACCTCTTCTATTAACTTTTTAGCTTATTTCTTATTAAATAATTTATCACTATCCAAATGATGGGAAAAAAATTACAGATTATTTATTGCTACGTAGTATCATGTATAATTTATTTGAAATTTTATTTTTATAATTTATAAAAAAAAAACATTACAATAAAGTTTAAACTAAATATTGGTATTTGGAATTGAGTGTATTTTTAAATAATTTTATTCATTAAAAAAAAAAATTATTAGTTATTATATCGTAGTAAAAAGAAGGGAAGTTTGTCTGAGGGTCAAGATTAGCACACCTTCAATGAAATGCTAGGTTTCGAACCCTCGACTGCTGTTAACAGCCGCAATGCCCTATACACCTACACACCAAACTCCAATTATTTAATCATTTTTGTAAACCCCTTAAAGTGTAATTATTTGTCACACATAAATTTTCCTAATTCATTAGTTTGTATTCCGTGAATTTTTTTTATAATTTTAGAGATAATCTTAAATATATTGACTCGCTGTTGGGAATAACACTCTTAATGGTCATAGAGATGTTATCGGCTCCACTTGAAGCCGGCTCCAGCCGCGGCTTGATACCAGAGCCACTATCAAGCCAAGCCTTTAAAATCATAGCTTGAATCAGAGAAGTATAGCTTTTGGCTTTGGCTTTTAGCCATAGCCTGAGAAACTTTAGCCATGATTTTGAAGCCGGTTTCATATGTAGCTAATTTAAGTCCTGTAGCTTCACAATAGCTTAAGCTATAGTTAGCAGTGGCTCAGAAAACTAAACCATGACTTAAACGGCTTGGCTAACTCAAGCTGCATCATGCTATTTATACTATAGTTTGACTTCGGCTATGGCTTTAGTGAGCCAAGCCGAGCCATTCTAGCTGATTACATCTTTAGCTGAAATATACAAGAAGCAAATCTAAATATGTACTTTATGATATTGCACAAGAATTATTTTCAAGTTTATGTTTGTGTTCTTTAAAAGGGAATTAATAGATATGGAATAGTCATGACTTTGTAATATTTTCCAAAATAATAAAATCATCAAAACGTAAGAGGTTTTTCAACATCTAAAATACACTACCTTTTACTTTTCTACTTATATACATTTTATTTGAACAGGCTATTAAGCATAGGTGTTGTTAATTTTTATAATATCCTATGTATAGAATCCTTTCTATCTTCATTTATTACACATATTCAAAAACAAATAGAAAATGAAAATGTTATACAATCTCTTTTGATAATACTAAAAAATTTGGAATAAATAAATTTGCAACTGATATTGAAGAAATTATGAAATATCTGAACATGTTTCAAGATTGTATAAGTTTACATATTTATTACAAATTAAAAAACTGCTAAACAAAGCTAATTTTTTTTTACAGATATCTTTAGATGTATTACAATAAACTCTTATAAGAATTCAGCTCACAATCGCACAAACCTCAATTCCGATATTAACTACATTTATAGTTTTTTTAATCATATGGAAGATAGCTTTTCTGATTTTGTAATAATATTGTTGTATTTAAAATTTTTTTTATATTCAAAGTTTTTTTTTATGAACAGGTATAATCTTTATTCAAACGATATATTGTCTCAATCCCTTACTAAACAAGAATATACTGTAATTCTTATGTGTGGACACCTCTATTATGCAACGCCTTTATGGCTAAAAGTGATATTCGAATTTCTAGATATGTTTAAATGTTCAAATTACTGTTATTTTTATATACTTTTTGTGATAATTAATTTACATTACACAATTCAGTGGTGAGGTTTCATCCATAACGTATTGGGGTTACATGCCAAATGATTTATGAACATAGTGCAGCACTAGTAATTTTATTATAAAATCGGCGTATTTTTAAAATGCTCTAATTATTCTTCTAATAAGAAAATTTAATCTATGTAGAGGTATTTCCTAATTTATTGTATTAATTTATCTAAAATTGTAAATAAATAAATTTTCACAGTAAAATATTCGTTATTTGTATGTTTAAACTCCAGAAATCTCTAAAATCTACATATTAATATAAAATATGGCTACATAGGTTTAAAATGATGCTATTTTATTATAATTTGCAAGTTGTATAATTAAATTTGCTTAGCTAGAACGGGAGTTAGATTACAATAAATTTATACATACTCTAAACTTCAGCAAGAGCAAAACTTCAATCATAACAAAGCTTGTATATTCAACTTTTTTTAGTACTGCATAATTGCAGCCAATAAAACAGAACTTCTGTCATGCGAAGTTGGTTTTTATTGGTTGTTTATTTTCTATTGAAAAGTACGGTTACACAAACTTTTTATATTGGTTTATAATAGAAAATTTAGGTAATTCGAATTGAAACAAGTTAAAATTTTATTAACTTAAAATTTCGCCAGATTGTTTTTAGAAATATAGCTTTTATAAGAACGTTTGAGATCAAGTTTTTCTCCAACTTTTACTAGAATCGATTCTGACAATACCAGTATGTAACACAAAGAAATTACATTAAATTTCTAATAAAAGTTTCTAACTTCACGTGTGCAAGTTATTTATAAGAGTAAGTTAATTAACACGCATGTGATATTGTCACCTATAAGAAATCATAATGATAAAAATTTTAGAGTCCGATAAAGAATATTCTCCATTATAAAGTTCCGGATCACTATTGTATCCCGTTTCAAAAATTCTAACCTATGCATTGAAAGTAGGTCAGAAGATTATAAGATGTTTCTGTAAAATAAATTATATTATATACTAACCTTATTTAGAGGAGTCAAAAATCCTTCTCTCAAATTTTGTCGTTTTCTTTTTAATATAAGGTTCCTTTCAATAGTGTGCTCGTCTAATACATTAGATTTTATTTGACAAACTTCCTGATCCTCATAAATTGGATTAATAATAATTTCGTCATAATCATGTGCGTCCTCACATTGTTGTTGAGTTTGGGCAAATTGAGCTTCTGAGGTGCACACAAAGAAATAATTATCTATTTGCGTCCTTTTTTTTGTTCAGAAGTATCTTGGTTAATCTAATAACGCAAGATATCAGATATAAAATAAATTGTTTGCTCGCCTCTTGCAAAAAAAAAAAAAAAAAGTTCATTATACTTACGTTTTTCAAATAATGTTCACCTAACATCATTTGTTCAGAGGGACTTTAAAAAAAAGCTTCAATCTCATTATTCAAATCCTATAGAAATATAAGGTCATTATCATGAAATAATATTAAAACAACATTGATAATAAAATATATTTACATAGCTATTAATTAATGATAGGAAAAATGCGCATTTTATAATAACATGCGCATGAAACGTAAAATGCGCATGATACCGCATGATATAAATTCTCTTTTTTCTGTTTCATTTCGGAAAAAATCGTTATGTTTCTCGAATTTCGGTCGCGACCTTGCTCGTCTTTGAGGTTCATTCATTTTCTTTTCGGAAATTTTCGTAATTTTTGAAATTCCTATCCTCTAATTCCGCCCGGCATTATGCTCTCTGGCCTAAATTACGCAGCCTAACCAAACATATATAAATTCTTGATGGGCAAAAATGCGCATGTTTCAGGTATCATGCGCACGCATGATACCCATCTCTAGGATAAACCCCAACTTAAAGAACGCAAAGAATAGGTTAAGAAAGTAAGACCAAAGTGATAGGATAAACATACCTACGGAACCCCACCAACTCGCCAAATCTAACACTCCTTTTTCCGGTAAAGCCCACCGTAGGTTACGCAAGAATTTGGATTAACTGACTCGCCACATTGCCCGGTTTCAATATGCTTCGTAATAAAGGAACTTGATTTGAAAAAAATAGTAAATAAAAAAAGACAAGAACGGTGGAAATGTAAAGCTTGTAATAATTCATGAGTCAAAAATTAAACACAAATACAAGAACATTATAACCGTTGCAATTTAAAAATTCCAGCAATAATAATATATCAAGTTCTACATCAAGCTTTGTACATAACAATAACAATAATACAAGAACTATCAACCAATGCCGAAAAAAGATAAATTTAAAGCGTTTATACATCATCAAAAATCTACTAAATGATTTTACAAGGCATTCAACAATATCAAAACTCTGCAGAGTTGGAAATACTAATGGAACGTATAATTTTGGAATAAAAAAATGAATGTAGGCATTGAGGTAATATGAGGTAAATATTTATATACGTGAATTAAAATTTTTGTTCTTCTATTCAGTTAATTTACTCAGATAGATAGTTAATATCTTAAACGGATACCTTTTATATACAGGTTATCTAGATGCGCCATAATGGCAAAGATAGCTCAACGACATCTGACAAATTCGATGATAAGATATCTCGACAACTACTTGTAAAAATAAAATTAATAAAAAATTTGGCCAAGTAGTTATCAAGATATTTTTACTCAAAGTTTTAAATTTTTGAGTTTCAACTGGTTATGAAAATCTGATTAACTGTATTTTGTCGCCACTTTTGTCAGTTTCACCAACTTTTACAAATTTCGCTTTTGTCAGTTTCATCGTCTGCCGTTTCAATTTTTTTTTTTTTTGACAAAACCTTTTAGGTTTCTCCTAACAACTATACTTCAGCACCTGCCTAAATTTCTAACACTAACGCATTACACTAACGCATTCAAGAAGATCTAATTTCAGTTGTCTGAAGTTGGCTACTCCAGATAGGGCTACTTCAAACCCAACCATTTATAAATTTTTGTAATCAAGATAGGAAAATAATAATTCTAATAGAGTTTAATCGCGATTGAAAGTTTCTTCTGTTGCAATTAAAAGCCATTAGAAATGTTTTTTAGGGGGCGAATTTAATTTTTATAACATTACTCTAGCGAAATTACGAGATATATAAAATGGATGCTAGGTAAGGCACTATACATCTTTAATATATACCTTATTACCAGAATTGTCGTTCTCTTGTTCAATTAGCAAAGAATTTAATTGTTAATCAAAATATAAAAATAATTTAATGCGAAGAAAATTTTTTATTGTTACTGATTATATTACATTACGACTATAATATTTTACTTTAATAATATTTATGATTTATTCAAAATTCCTAGGAATTATCCTGACATCCATTTTTACGCATTGCCTGATAATATTGAAATTATACTTAATAGGTGCATTCATGTCAACCAATTCAAAATCATACTTTCTGTACAACATAACCATAAAGCTTAAAATTTCTATAATTGATAAATTTCGACCTGGACACATGCGTAATCCACCACCAAAAGTGTTGAGAACTTTATTTGAGCCATCAAGAAACCGATCAGGATTGAAAATGGTTGGATCTTTCCAATCTTGAGGGTGATTATTAGCACCCTCGATATAAATGAAGAATTGTAAATTTGCAGGAAAATGGTGACCACCTATTTCGACAGGTGTCGTTGACGAACGAAAAGTTGTCGGAGCCGATGGGAAAATTCTTGAAACTTTAAAAAGTATGTATTTTAACGGTTTGTTAACATGTTAAAGATGTTAAAGCATAGTGCGTTATCACAGCAATTACGAATTTTAAAATGCTAAATTATTTTGAGCAACAAACCTTCTTTAATAACAGCCTCACAATAACTCAGCTTAGCCAAGTCTTCTGCTGTGAAACGATAATTTGGATCACGTCCAAAGATAGTTTCTAACTCTTTAACCACGCGTTCCTTAACATTAGGATAATGTGCCAAATAATAGATTATAAATGTAATACTATTGGCGACCTAATAAAAATTAAAGTTATTAAAATTTAAATTATATGAAGATAAATATAGTTAAGTAAAATTTTATCATACAGAATCAGTTCCAGCAGCAAAAACTTCAATTAAGTTTCCACAAATTTGCTCATCAGTCATGGGTTCAACATGCATTTCGTCAGAAACATTTGAAATATCGTGAGAAGTATTAGTTGTCAAGAATAAAGTTAACAAATCTGATGACAAAGTTTTTTTATTAGAAGCTTTTTCTATCTCTTCTCTGCGTTCTTGAATTATTTGGGTTAAAAACTTATATAACAAATCTCGATTATTGATCAAACTTTGAGCATATTGCCGAACACCAGGGAGAATTCGAATAAACTTTGGAGTAGTAAAAAAAAATTCCATAGCTCTAATATATGTTCTTATATTTGCAATATAATTTTCGGATTCTTCTAATGCGCCAACAGGGATGTCAAACTTCTCAGTAGGAGATAATTTGTTGTAATAATTGATTACAGAATATGCTCTTCTGTGAGAAGTTAAATAAATTATAGATTCAGAAGTAGCGAGTAATATCCATTTTTGTATATTAACAATTTTATCACTTTTTTCATGATTTTTCCGAAGATTTTGCCAACAATTTTCCATGTCACTAAAAATATCTTGAGTCCCTTCAACAACTTCTTTAATGAAATTAGGAGACATAATAGCCCTATTCATAAATTTACGATTATAAGACCATTCCTTTAAATCACTATTAAAAGTCATACCGATCTTAGTAGTATTAAATTCTTCAAGACCAGAATTTGGTAATGCACGAATAAGGAATGCATTTTTTGTAGAAGGGCTAAAGACTTTTTCGAATAAATCATTTCTAGCCAACCATATAGTTCTTATAGGTCCTTTATAAATTTCCCACATGTCACCATAAATTGATTGAAGTTTTTTCGCCGAAGCTGAATCATCACCAGAGTATTGATGAAGGTTTCCTTATATAATTAAAAAAAAAAAAAAAAGAGTCAATAATAAACTAGACATATAGAATCAAAATAACAACATTAAAAATACCAATAAGTGGCAAAGGAAATGGGCCTGGAAGTGGGCACGGACGAGTAAAGTATTTATAATAGTAATATAATACGTAGGTTACGAAACCAAAGATTAAGGTTTCTAGAAGGGTCAAATTGATGGGTAATATTGAAAACATTTTTTTTTTTGTTTTTTTTTTTTTTTTGAAAATTTCAAATAATTCTGACAATAAAATTAAGAAAACCGATAACGATAATGTTTATATCTTTAATTAATTTCAGGTGATCGACAATTTATGGTACGTATAGTCTGCGCAGAAAATTTTGCAAATAGGTTTCTTTGAATTCCTTATTATGGCTAAGAAAAATTTTGTATGACAGCGACAGGCTCTTTTAGAAATTACAGTATTCCTAAAAATTGAACAGAGCCACATTTATGTGAACGCTGCGCATCTACTATATTCAGTAAATTTAATGCGCAGCCGTTTTATTTTAATCATAAAGTTGTTCTGTAAAAATATAAAATTAGAAATTTTATTTAATTATTAACTTAATTGAATCAAAAACCTGTAAATCTAATTTTAGTATTTTATTTTAGCGTTAGCGATCTTGAATAAGATTTATTAATGCCAAGCACTGGGTAACTAGATTTAAATAAACCAATTACATGCGCATGCTGCGCATAATTCTTGTGATACTGCGCAGGATTTTGAAATAAACACTCAAATATTGGCCAGATAATTTAATGTTAATGAGACCCTATAGATCTTGCTTTTCATTCACTAGATACGCAGCTTATAGATTTTTTAATCGATCCTAGGAACCGCACAAAAAATGCACGGCACCGGCCTGATTAACGTAAATTTTATAATTTTGGCCGGAAATTATTTTTTCAATCTTTTTCATTCCAAGAAAGGAAATTAGGCTGGGTCTATGGTAAAGTTATGTCAGGATTATTTTTTTACTTATTGGGTGGCCGGAGTAAGATTTTAGCATGATTTTTTTGTAAATTATAATCACAAATGAAAATCTGCCGCGCATTTTTTGCGCGGTAGATTAGATTAAAAATTTATGAATTGCGGGGTATTTTTTGACCTTATATTCAGATAGTATCCAGATAATATCCATCTCGTGATATTCTAAAATCCCATTGGTCAGTCGATTTGACTTAACCTTGCAATAGTCCCGGGTACAACGCTGATGCAACGATAAAAAAATCATTTCAAATCAAAAAAAAAAGGATATCATAATTTTTATTTTATTTATTTTATTTTATTTTTTATTTTTGTTTTAAAACCCGCTGCAGGATCGCACGGGACACTGGAAAGCGTACATTTTTTATTAATGGGGCCTTCTAAATTCGTAAAGCTCCCTACATTTAAAGAACTACATGAGTTTTTACTATATATATTTCATTTTAATGTTAAATGTCCTAATTCGACCGGAGTTTCACTGGAGGTGTCCTTAATCGACCGGAATCTCACCGGAAGTGTCCTTTTCTGGAATTTCACCGGAAGTGTCTTTATTTGTTTGATGGCGTTGCCCTGGCACGGTGTAGAAGGCGAGATGGGATCCGGATTCGAGGACAGGTCATGACGATGTTCACGCAACCAATAACTACAACCTACTACTAAACTAACTATAACCCTAATAGTGGAAGGCGTCGAAAGAGGTCGTGGAAGATTTGGCTGGAGTTTATTAGGGTCAAGGTCAGTTTATATTATCGGGGGGAGGGTAATTATTAATAACGAATGTGGTATTGGAGTTATTATGCGAAGGGATTTATTCTCAAATCCGAGATGATTTTATTGAAGGGGAAAAGGCATCCCTTATATAGATAATTTTACATATAGAAAATAAGAGAAATACAAAAGATAAATATTATCCTTACTATCTAAACTATTTAAAGGATAAAATCGATCCTTTAGATCGATTTTATCTAAAGGAAAAATAGATAAATCTGATTTAAGAAATCGTACAAATCGTACATATTGTGCATGGTACTCCTTTACAACGGTTTGCGATTGGGACCCGGGAGCGTAATCACTACGCTATCGACCCGCGGGTCGTAATTTTTAATTACAATAAGCTTTTTCAATCTGTGCAATTAAAAAATAAGGTACTTCAATTATCATTCTTGGATCTTCGTTGGATGATCTAATAGATATCCGACTATTTTTATCTAGTGGATATTTTTTACGGATATTCATTGGATCATCCGAAAAATAATTTGATCAATGGTTCAGATTAGATACTATAAAGACAGTATGTTTAAAAGCCTACTTAGATAGATATTGCAGAATCAAAAAATAAAACATAGAGAGGTTTGGTCAGTATATTATTAAACTTTCTACTTTGTATATTGAATAAACTTGTAAATTTTGTGTCGGTAGACAAACAAAATAAAAGAAAGAGATTTTAAAAGCTTTACTAGAGTTTCTTAGATAATATTACAACTATATCACTTTCGTTGAATAATAATCGATCTAAAAAACCAAGAATAGAGAGTAGGGTAAAATAAACGATACTAAGCAAAATGGCACGTAAATATTTCAGTTAATTTTACCCAGTGAACAACTTTTTTAACAATGCAAAGAATTTTATTATCACAAAATATAGTTATTTATTTCTATATAACATATAACGTATGAAATGTATTTGTAGTGTTATTTTTAGCGAAAAAATTTATTTAGTGGATTCATCGGATTTTATGACCAGATATAAAAATCTGGTGGATTGGGCATAAAAACATAAATTAAGAAATTATTGTACGGGAAGACTTTGATTTCTGTATTAAAATTTTGCAGGATCCGGAAAATGCAATAATCATTGTACAGTAATGCGAAAGATCGTTATTAATATGTTTGCTATTCGTGATTTGAGTGCAGTAGTAGTTGGCAATATATATGTATGTAATTATATTAGATTAATAGCGATGATTATGAAATAAAATTCATATTAATGCAACTTAAATTACAAAATAATGTAATTTACTGTATAAAATAATTTTAAGTTGAATTTAAAGTTGAATTTAAATTCTCTAAAAACTCGGGTACATTTATTATATAACATATATTTATTTGAAATATACCAACTACTAAACTGTATTTATTATTATCCCCAACTATTTATACGCTATTACATTAAATCTTAATATTGTATACATTAATTAATTTTTCTAATAGTAAAAGATGATGACTGTAAACTAGCGTTAGGAAATAAAATAACTGTTAAATGCTGGAACTAAATATTAATTATGATTATAAAAAATATAAACGAATGTATTATAATCTTACTATAGACATAATTTTCTTTATGCCTATCTGACCATACTCGGACAATTAAAATTCTTTAATTGCATGAAATTTTCCTGTATTTTCATCTAGAAAATTCTTATTCACCTTATCGTGTTTGAAGGAGAAAATTTCGGCTAATTTAACCCCAGCAGCTTTCGTAGTAAGTTCAGTACCATCTATCATAACAGGAACTAATTTGATATCAGTATAATTATTGAAAATAGCTGTCGGGTCTAATTCGCCTGTCGTAGTATTAGTTTCTTGAGCAAATTCGTGCGTTTGTGTTCTTATGCCTAGCCGTACCATAGCTGCTGTGATATCGACGGTACCATAAACTAAAGTATTTTTATGATTATGACCTGATGTGCCTTGCCACATAGCGATAAAACCTGCAAAATGAGGTGAAGTTACTGGTGTTTCTGAATTTGCTGTGGGTAAATCAATGAAAACTCTAACAACGAACGTTCCTCTAATTTTGCCCGACTCTATAGTCACTTTCACGAAAAACCGATCTTCATAAAAGTTATCAGGTTTATAGAGTTCAATAATATAATTTCTTATTTCCTTCAAATCTTGTCCTTTTAATTTCTCTAATTCAGGATATGTATACCCAAGTTTTTTTATATCTCGAACGTCTTTAGATTTCCAGAATTCGGTTTTTGATTTTCGAAATGGTGTGAGATCTGTATTATCATAGTCTATTGAATACATAAGATCTGTATAAGTTCCGTTCACATCTACATTTTGAGGAACCCAACTATCGGGATACCTATGTAAAAAATAAAAATAAATTATTCTAAATTTTATTAATTATAAATAAATAAGATAACACTCACATTTCTTGCCAAAGTGCAATCATACGATCTACATTAGCATGATGAAAAAAGAATATTGGGTCAAAGCCAGCTATATCTACGTGAGCCATATGTCCTCCTGTACCACCAACTACCGCATGAAGACTATCATGAGTGGTTTCAACTGAGGAAAAATGAGCACGCCCAAGTGTTAGATTAGGATCTGGACTTGGATGTTGACCAAAGGATTGTGCAGGTAATTCTTTCCCTTGTGATGTTAGAGCATGATTGCTAAATCTTAAATAGTCGTTGATATGAAACATCTGGTAAAAACCAGGTCTAAATACCGTTTGAACATACGTCGACACATTACTATTCAATACTCCGTACTGATCTTTATAATGATTATTTGGATGTCGTACTGTAGGATAGCCTTTAGGTGTAAATGGAACGTAAGTCGCATTAGGAACTTTGTAATTTTTATCATCTGGATTAAGCCCTTCCGGAAGCCGGTCCGAAAGATCTACTGGTAAATAGTAACGTTTTAATGGGTTTGGCACATTTTTTCTACCACTTGGGGTATTTATTTCAACAATTGATTTTAAGAAAACTTCTGGGACCCCTTCTAACGCCTTTTCATTTGCCCAATCCCAATAAGGATGACGAAGTTGTTTAGCTGCTTCGACATATTTCTTTTTTTGTCGCGCTGGATATTTATTTGCAATTACTTTTGCTACGTTTATTAATTGATTTTCTATAAGCTGTATATATCCTCTATGCCAAGTTGGGAATAGAATATCTCCATGGTGACAATAACCACCCCACCTGCCTAGATCAAATTCTGACGATTTATAGGGATACTCGCCGGTGACACCATCATATGTTGTATATGGAAGGCCATGTATACCAGCAATTTGATAAAATGACCTCATGTCTTCATAAGGACGTTCTTGTAGAGCTTGATAACCTTGAATTAATAAATCAAACTGAAGGGCATATGTTGGATTACCATAGAATTCTAATATTTCTAATCGAGGATAAACCTCTTGATATGGTGTGACAATAACTCTTCCAATGTCCCTGACATGTGAGACGTGTGAATAATGAGAAGACTGACTCAATCCCATATTATTATTTGTTTAGATAAACTTGAAATTCCGAGAAAATCCTCATATTTATAGAATAATGAAGATTTTTCAAGAGCACGTTACCAATTTGAAATTTTACTATTGATTATCTCTCGACAATATTATTTTACATGTAAATCTTTATTAAGAGAAACTTCAAGAACTCGTCTGTACATATAAGAGGTGTATTCATCGAATTAACTGAAGGTAATAATGCCTCAATGAATAGAAATTAAATTATTCTTTTTTTACATAATACAGGAGATTTTTAGACTAGACCTTTTTCTATTAATAGATTCCTTTTGTCATTTTAATTAGAGATATGTTTAATTGATATTTTTAATTATCAATCTAAGGCTTTAACAAAATCATAATGCGCGTATCCTTATGTGGATTTGCCATTAACTTATACAAATGAGAAATACGGTACTGTAGTATTTTTTACATAACCTCAATTGTTATAACTAATAATTTAAACATAATTGGATATTTATTTGACTTTAAAATTACCAAATTTATTAAAGAATCTTAATTATATAAAGGAGTACGTACTTCAATATGCATGTACATGTATATATAAGCATATGCACAAAATCATCATATTATGCTTTCTTAAATAGAAACTTATAATTTCTATTAATGGTTTTCTATAAACAACCAAGTTTTGATGATATTTATCTTTATTTAAGAAACATTTAATTGTTACGTATAAAGTTATAAATAATTAAAATTATAAATAATTATAACATTATAAATAAAAAATCATTTCTTATTATTCGTTATATTAAAAACAAATTAAATTTTTCGTATAACAATATATTTAAAAAATATATTAAATAATTACAAACTCTCTTAAAATACAAGTATAATATTTTAATAATATTAAATTAAATAGGAGAAGTTGCATTGAATTTTTTTAGGGTATGTACTTTAACTTTTCGGATTTTATACGTGTAAATTAAATCCTTTGAATTATTCGATATCTTAATATGATGAAACGACAATATAAGATGACTATTTCGCCATGTCATTTTCATTCTGGCAAAAAATTCTTCATTTTATCTATAAGGATTCTAACCAACCAAGGTTATATAATACAACATTTTTTCGATAAGTTTCGAGAACCTTTCTCGACAAGACATATATTCAAATTAAATATTTCAGACAACTTTTTCTTGAAAAGACAGAATAATTCTTCGACATAATTTTCCACAACAATCATTTCCCCGAAACATAATTTTAACCAATTCTAACCCTAAATCGGGCTAATGTTAATTGTCGGGAAATGAATGGCGTCAAATTATCAATAAGGGTGTGCATAGATTTTATAAAAATCGAGTTAATCGATAATTGATTTTAATTTTTATCAGGAGTTATAACTGATTTTAGAAACAATTACTGATTGAATTCTAGAAATTTAAATCGATTCTAATTGTTGAAATCCAAATTCGATTCTAAATAGCTTTTTGTCATAATTTGATCAGTGGTACTCATTTCCCCGACAGCTAAAGTTTGTCCGTTGTAAGGGAAAATACCCGGAAAACTGCGGCTCGATGCAGTACTCATCCATTTACGATTGATTCTAATTTATTTACGTGTATTACTATTAGTACCCATTTTGGTCACGTTTTTGGGTACGGTCAATCAAAAGGCTAAAACGGACCAACTCAAGCAGTTGAAAAGGTCTAAATCGGTTTTAGACCGATACTTGTCCGGGGCTAATCAATCAACTCAAAATCCAACAATCAACCCTAAGTTGGAAGGCTGAAAGACGGCGTGGAAGATTTGGTCCGGGTTTTAGGGCTGTTCTTGGATTATCCAGATTCAATATTTCTGGTCACGTGTTGAGTTATCTTAGTCCCGGTTTCTGATAAGTCGAGAGGCGACTTACTTGACTTATAGTAGCGGTTTCTTTATTATCGGGGGGTGATTGGGGATTAGCGAATGTGATATTTTGGGAGTTATTTAGGGGTTTTCGAATTATCTCAAACCTGATATGATTTATTGAAGAGGAAAAAGTCATCACTTTTATATCACGTTATTTTCTTTTTTGTTTGTTTATTATTTTTTTTAGTATTACATTATTACCCCTATATGTCAATTGTTTATCTTCTGCTTATTAAGGTAGTTGTGATAGTTAATTACTTAAATTAGAAAACGTAAGAGGAATAACGAAAGAGTCATAACGAAATAGCACTAACGGTAGAGTTATTTCGAAATAGGATTAACAGTAGAATAGTTCCATGTGGGACACTAGAATAACGCATATGTAATTAACTATAGACCAAAATGTATATATACCCTAACTTTCTGCCTTAATAAAGTTCCAGTAGGCTTCGATGTCTTGAATATAAGAAAGATATTAGGAATCGAGTTCTCAAAGTGTTTTGTTTTAAAGTTTATTGAATCGTTAATTTTCTTTTATTTTTGAATAATCCTTTATTGATATAAGTTTTGTTGTATTTCGTTATCTTCCGATATATATAAGCATATGCACAAAATCATCATATTATGCTTTCTTAAATAGAAACTTATAATTTCTATTAATGGTTTTC